GGTAAAGTGGGATTAAGCATAAAGTAGAACAGCAGCATCTTCTTGCCATATACAGGTTTGCAGTTGTTCTCTGGTTCCAGCTACAAACTTTAACAGGCACAAAGACTAAACTCGTCTAAAATTGTCAAGGATGGACTTGAATATGTAACAGATTTTCAAATAATTTCCCGTCTTCTCCCTTTGCAGAATTAATGCAATGTTATTCAGCCCACTTCTTTTTATCTGCCACCTCAGTTCCCTTGTCTGTCCCTGCAATTAACCTTTGTGTCACTTAATTACTGACCCTGTTGGTCATGGTACAGTTATCCTCTGACATTCTACATTAGTGATTCCAATGCTCCCTTTAAAACTAGGTTAAACATATTACCTAAGCAAGGCACCCAATTAGTTACTAACATGTTCAATTTGTACAGCCAGTCAATCAATAGTTAGAATTTTGTCAAATTTGCAAGTTGCCATATTTTTCTTGTGTTTTTAAGTTCTATATTTTACTCCTGCTGGGTTTTCTTTAAAAAACCATTACCACAACAACTCTTCACCACCACCATTTGGATGTATTTATGGCTCTCTATAGTGCAGGGAGCGGTGCACAGTAAAAAGTGGGTCCTGAAAGTGCAAATGAATTGTCAGTGGCTCCTGCAGCTCCCAATTGACTTACAACCTTATTATGTCTGAAGCTCTGTGGCATGACTCACAGAAGAGAGAGTAATCATTTACACATAAGGTAAAGACCACCATCCCCTTCCCTCTAGCTTCATCTGACGGGAACATGATATAAACACATAAAGTATTCAGGCAGAAAAAGGATTTACACCATAAGATGTTGGAAAACATATCAAAAGAATATAAACAGAAGGTGTGAAACAGTAATAGGGAAAACAACACCACTATATGCTTCCTTTTTCTTTAATTTATTCCTGTTATATATTCACAATAATGTAGCATAAAGACAGAATGACTTTTTAGGGACAACTAAATATTATATGCAGATGCAAGAAGAAATCTCCTAGAGGTATACAACAAAACAGAAAGGAAAATCGCCACACAAAAATTGGGTAATATTTTTTCCTAACAACTGGATATTTCTTTTTGCCTAAACTTGTTAATCAATTCATGATTATCTGAGAACAAAGCAGTTAGTGTTTAATACAGCATAGTATTTGCCAATTTAGACAAGATATTCTCTCTTGTCTCAGTATATCCATATATGTGTAAGTATAAATACATTGATTATTTATTTGGGACACTTTTGAAATAAACTAAAAGGGTTGTAATTGATCTGCCATAGCAGGCCAGTTAAGCTCACAGCACTTGTTTTAATAAATATTATGAGTAACTCTGGTTGAATATAGTCCACCTAAAGTCAACCAAAAACATGGCATAAGTGGAAAAACCAATACCAGTAAGTTTAAATATTAACATTTTTGGGTACCATTGATAAGGGCAACAGCATGATATAATTAAAATAAACCACAAAAATACATTAACTTTGGCTTATTTGAGGCAACAGACAATTAAACCATTGTCAATCAAAAGCATTAGTTCATTTTGCAAGAATTAGTATTGCTGCTGAAGTTCAGATTTACCAGTCTGGTTTGCAAGGGGCCTTTGCAGTATTAATCTTTCCAGGGCTGAGTATAATCCAATATTGTGCCCTTCCCCTGCTGAAATCTTGAATGTAGCATGATAGTATCCAAGTAATATGTCAGACATGAAGAACTGTGCCCTTGAAAAGGATGTCGGTTTGCTCTTAAAGCATGTCTTACAGCAGAGATGCATCTGATATACAACTGAATATAAGAGACTTTCATGAAATTTAGTGTTGATGGCTTTGATGAAAAAGATTCATTCTTACTGCAGACCTAATGATGTTGAGAATTGGCGCAATGTGGGGGTGGGGAGATCAACAATCACAAAATAAAGCAGTTTGCTAAATCTGGTCCTGAATCAAATGTTCATCAGTTGTTAAGATAAAATAGTAATCTGTACTTAAAAGAGTGAGTTGGAAAAATCTTTTGAGATCACTTCTTTATTTTAATTGCTTTTCTGCTCCATGCTGAAAAAAATTGAAAGTTTTAATCATAAACTATTAAAAGTCTTATAAGGGATTATCTTGATCCTTTTCAGTCAAGGTTCAGGGCAGGTATGAGAGGGGAAATGATATTGGATGATCTCTGGGATGGGCAGGATAGGGGTTGTGCATCCATCCTCACCCTCCTTGATCTTTTGGCAGCTTTTGATACCATCAACATGGTAGCCTTCTAAATTAACTCAGAGGATTGGGACTGGGCAACATGGTATTGTGCTGGTTCACTTCCTTTCTTAGGGGTTGATTATAGTCACTCAATGATTATGGAGAGGACAGATTAGATTCTTTGCTCTCTCCTTTTGTGATATTGGAAATGTCACTTCTGGGTAATGCCTTTGGAAAACAGGAGTGAAAAAAAATCTAAGCTCCTTGCTGCAGTTCAGTATATATAGATTGGTAGAAAATGATTTCATATTCCTCCAACTCACTATTCTATCCTTATTTCTGACAGGATGATTTTGAAACAAATCCAGAAATTCCATAGTTGCTTTTTTATATAAATTTTATATAAATTCTGTCATAACATTCCCATTTTTATGCACAGCTTTTCTGATTGGTGTAATATGGCATATTTTCTATGCAGCTACCTAATGCATTATTTTCTATGAAACTTTTCCAAACACATACTTTAAAAAAAAAAAATTCTTAAATACACCCTTTGACAAAGCAGTTATGCAGTGATGTGCGTATGTC